TTTAAGAATACGGCTGATAGTTCGTCGAAATTGCTGATCGAACCCGGCTCTAATTGGGTGAACCACATTAGAGCTTGGCCACATAGATTCTCCGAAAAAAGCTTGCAGTAGCCTGCGTCCTCATCAGCTTCATCCAATTCGACTCTTCCAGCAGCGATCAGAAAAGCTGCGAGATAGCTTTTTGGATCCTCCAATCCGCTGTAAGGGTCCAACTTAAGTTTTCGGGAATCTTTGATCCTCAAACTTGCAATTCGCGAGATGAAAGGTGTTCGCCTAGCTTCTTCAATGACTCGATTGATGTCTGGCTCCGAACTTGTAGCTTGATGAAATTTTGATTTCATTTCTTTTAATTCCTGGCTAACCTTCCTCATGGTCTCGAACTGGTCGAGATTCTCCTGCTCGTATTGAGCTGCAAGTTGTTCTTCATCTCTGAGCTGTGTCTCTTCTTCCAACGTCTGAGCTACATTATTAGTAGCACCGGGAGTTGTTTGTCCGCTGGTTTCATTTCGTGCAGCGGAACTTGGCGAGTTGAATATCCCTCTTCGGATTCCCACAAGGTTTCCTGCACTTAAGGAGCGAACACGAGTTTGTATAGTATTGACGTTTTGACTAAGAGATACCTGGGATGTTTGCAACGTATCGACGGCCTTTTCCACATCCGAGAACTTTTGTGATATGTCCGACATGGTTTGCTGCATAGCTTTGAGGGTTTCGGCCAATGATGTCTCAACGGCGTCTCCTCCGGACATTGTTGCTTATCTCGGAAATGTAGTACAGAAAAAATCTGACCACTCAAGAATCCTATATCCCCACAGACGGCGCCAAAATGTGGATGTCGGATTCACACACTCAAGTATTTTTATTAGTAGGAAAGATTATTCTTGAGGGACAAAAAATAAGAACGTAAAGGGTTTATGAATACAAAAATTGCTATAGTATTTCTTGCTTCGAGAGAGAGAGAGATCCTTTTACATGGCTATTGGCCTTTATATTTATACATAGAGAAACGACATTAAAATGAATAATTAAATACAATTATTCCTTCTTAAATGTGTCCGTTTTGATTTTTTGACTTTAATGCTCAACGTTTGAATTTGAGTTGACTCTGATCTTCATGGACCTCGCCTTTTTGGCCCAAGTGTCCTTGAACCGACTTGCCCGTGTCTTCTACACTGAACTCATGTCACAGTGCAGTCACTTCGGATTCTCGAAGTGGTGACAACCACTTCGACTGTTCCCTTGGCTCATGGATTTGACGGGCTTTATCTTTTATGGGCCTTTATCTTGACTACGTGGCGATCTTTGGTTGGTCTCGGACTTCTGGTGCGGGATCCGACACCAACAATAACTTACAAGTCTTGTTGACGAATCATTCCAATATTATGAACATGTTTTCTGAACATAGAGGTGGGCAATGATTTTGTGAAGAGAACCCCAGAATTCTTGGATGATTGGACATATCTTACTTCAATGTCTTTATTCTTCACGAGCTCTTGGGTGTATGAAAAGAACTTCGGAGGGATATGTTTGGTTCTATCGCTTTTGATAAATCCTTCCTTTGTCTGAGCAACACATGCAGCATTGTCTTCATACAAGATAGTTGGCTCCGTTTTTAGACGAATTCCACTACTTGTTTGAATGTGTTGACTTATTGATCGTAGCCATACGCATTCTCTACTCGCTTCATGGAGTGCGATGATTTCAGCATGATTTGAAGAAGTAGCTACAAGCGTCTGCTTCTGAGAACGCCATGATATAGCAGTACCTCCAATCGTGAACACGTATCCTGTTTGTGATTGAGCTTTGTGTGGGTCTGATAAATAGCCTGCATCTGCAAAACCAATCATTTGACCATTTATATTTTTAGGATAAAATAACCCTAAATCAATAGTCCCTTGAAGATAACGAAAGACATGTTTAACCCCATTCCAATGTCTTCGTGTAGGGAATGAACTAAATCTAGCCAAAAGATTGACTGAAAAAGATATATCAGGTAGAGTGCAATTTGCAAGATACATAAGGGCTCCAATTGCACTTAGATACGATACTTCAGGACCGAGTATCTCTTCATTCTCCTCAGGTGGTCTGAATGGATCACTCTCAACATTAAGTGATCTAACGACCATTGGAATACTGAGAGGAGTTGCCTTATCCATATTAAGACGTTTTAACACTCTTTTGGTGTATGTGGATTGATGAACAAATATACCCTTTTGAGTATGTTCAATTTGTAGGCCAAGACAAAATTTTGTTTGTCCGAGATCTTTCATCTCAAATTCCCCTTTTAAATAGTTTGTTGCTTTCTGTATTTCTGTTTGAGTCCCGATTATGTTTAGATCATCAACATATACCGCGATTATCACAAATCCGGAATTTGTTTTCTTTATGAAAACACATGGGCATATAGGATCATTCACATATCCTTCTTTCATTAAATGCTCACTGAGACGATTATACCACATTCGTCCAGATTGCTTTAACCCATATAATGCTCTCTGCAACTTTATTGCACATAACTCTTTGGGTTTAGATTTTAATGCTTTTGGCATATTAAACCCATCGGGAACTCTCATATAAATATCTGTATCTAATGATCCATATAAATATGTTGTAACGACATCCATGAGACGCATCTCTAGGTTTTCGCCAGCTGCTAGACTCATCAGAAATCTAAATGTTATAGCATCCATAACGGGGGAATATGTTTCCTCATAATCAATCCCAGGTCTTTGAGAAAATCCTTGAGCTACGAGACGAGCCTTGTATCTCGTAATTTCATTTTCCTCATTTCGTTTTCTAACGAAAACCCATTTGTATCCAACCGGTCTCACATCTTCAGGTGTGAGTACAATAGGTCCGAATACATTTCGCTTATTGAGCGAATCAAGTTCGACTTGTATTGCATCTTTCCATTTTATCCAGTCATGTCTCTTTTGACATTCATATATCGACTTTGGTTCTGGATCCTCGTTTTCCTCATCAATTTCCTTTGACAAAAGGAATGAGAAAACGTCATTAACATCATCCATTTTATTTCGATCCCAGATCTTTCCATTATGGATATAGTTGATAGAAATCTCATGATTTCCTTCAGGCTCATGATGCTCATTATTGTCATTAGACTCATGATTCGTTTCTTCCAAAATACTTTCTGCTATTTTGGGAATATTATGCTTTTCAACTTCCTTTCGTTTTCTAGGATTTTTATCCTTAGAACCAATTGGTCTACCACGTTTCAAACGTGTTCTAGATTCACGTGTCTCATCTAGTTTTCCATGTTCTTGTGGGATTTCAATTCGAGCAGGAGCATTTGCTGCGGGTATATGTGATTTAGTTACCATTTTGGTATCTACAAATGCATCAGGTAGTTGATTTGCTATACTTTGTAAATGCATAATTCGTCGAACCTCAAGTTCTGACTGTTTTGTGGGAGGATCAAGGTGTAATAGTGATGGTACACACCATTTAATATCCTTTTCTATCTTTTTATTTTCTTCCCCTAGAACCGGGAATTCTTTTTCGTCAAAGTGACAATCGGCAAAACGCGCGGTAAATACGTCACCAGTTTGAGGTTCTAGGTATCGTATAATTGATGGAGAATCACAACCAACATATATGCCTAACCTTCTCTGTGGTCCCATTTTCGTACGCTGTGGGGGTGCAATGGGCACATATACCGCACAACCAAATATTTTTAGATGAGAAATATTAGGTTCTCGACCAAATGCTAATTGTAATGGAGAATAATTATGATACGCACTTGGCCTTATGCGTATAAGTGATTCTGCATGCAAAATAGCATGTCCCCATATTGAGGTTGGAAGTTTTGATCGCATGATCAACGGTCTCGCAATTAATTGCAGACGTTTAATTAAAGATTCAGCCAAACCATTTTGTGTATGAACATGGGCTACTGGGTGTTCAACATTAATTCCCGTTACCATGCAATAATCATTGAATGCTTCAGATGTAAATTCACCAGCGTTATCTAATCTAACTCTTTTGATTGGATAATCAGGAAACTGAGCTCTTAATTTGATCATCCGAGTCAGAAATCTCGCAAATGCCATATTTCGAGATGATAAAAAACAAACATGTGACCATCTACTAGACGCGGCTATCATTACCATGAAATAGTAGAATGGTCCACATGGTGGGTGTATAGGTCCACAAATGTCCCCTTGAACTCGTTCAAGGAATTTTGGTAATTCTTTATCTATTTTGCTTGGTGACGGCCTTATAATCATCTTTCCTAGAGAACAAGCAACACATGTCATTTTATTCCCCTGATAAATCTCTTGGGGTTTCATTGAATGTCCATGTGAGCTCTCTATAATTTTTCGCATCATTGTGGTGCCTGGGTGACCAAGGCGATCATGCCACAATGTGAAATCATCATGACTTCTATTGAATTAATGTATGTATGATGCAATCCTGATGGGAGTCTTGGTAGTTTTTCCAAAACATGTCTTTTTCCTGATTTTTCAGAAGTAATATACATGTACTTCTTTCCATTCTCAGTCGCAGACTGAGTGTCATATCCATGAAGGTATATGTCTTTGAAACTCAACAAATTTCTTTTTGAATTTGGAGAAAATAATGCATTATTTATCGAGAATTTTGTCCCGTTAGGTAATGCAAAATTTGCTTTACCGGTCCCTTCAATTAAGTCTGTGGGACCTGATATTGTGTTAACGATAACTTTCGTCGATTTCAAATCAGAGAAATACTTTTTATGTTTCAGAATAGTGTGCGTTGTTCCACTATCCGGTATGCAAATATCCCCAAGATTTGTCTTGGATATTGTTCCATTTGTAATATGATCCATTTCTGAAATAAAGATAATCGATTAAGGTAAGTAGGAAACAAATTTATTCATTAAGCATAAAGCACACAATAATTATACATGATAGGTAATACAATCACACAAATTTAGGAAATTTCAAACACGCATCGATTTATTTATGGCACATAAATTCGAGTCCCACTCGATAGACATTTCAGTTTTCAACGGGGGTAGCCTCATCGAAATCGTTTTCAAAGTCAGAAGCATCAAGGTGGGTTGTACCCTCAGAATGTTCCGCGAGGTTCACTTCCTTTTCTTTTCCCTTAGTGGATTCTTTGTACAGAGCACAAAGGTGCGCAGGAGTCCGACATACCTGAGACCAATGTCCCTCAGTGCCACATCTGAAACAAGCACTCTCACGTTTTTGGGGTGTATTTGCTTGGATTTCTTTTCCTTTTGAATCAGGACGAATCCATTGGTATGACGTTCTTCCACGTCCGCGATAGTTTCGGCGACCACGTCCCCAAAATGTTTTGTTTTCTCTTACCGGATTTTTAACATCCAATGCATTAATCTCAGGGAATGCTTTTGATCTGGTGGGTCGGGACATGTGATTCTTGATGAGGAGCTCATTATTCTTTTCAGCTATTAGGAGCGCCACAATCAAATCTGAGAATTTGGTGTATCCACGTAACCTATAATGTTGTTGCAAGGTAATATGGTTCTTTTGAAACGTGGTGTACGTTTTCTCAAGCATCTGAGATTCAGTTATGGTTTCACCACAATATCTCAGTTTGGCTACAATTCCCAACATGGCAGAATTGTAGTTCATTACCTTGTCAAAGTCTTGGAACCTCAGACTTTGCCATTCATCCCGGGCAAGTGGGAGAGTGATGTCCCTTTGGTGATCGAAACGATCTTTCAAGGACTTCCAGAGTTCTTTAGGATCTCTCATGTGTGCATAGTCATATATGACACTTTCATCCAGGTGTCTTCTAAGGAAGATCACCGATTTTGCCTTTTCTTGGGCCGTCGAAGTATTAGTCTCTTTTATAGTCTCCATTATCCCAAGATATGTAGTTAGCCCCGGTAATGTCTAAGGCCGGGAATTGGAGCTTCTCGATATTTGCCATTTCGTTTATTTATTTCTAAAATAAAAACATGGAATATTATTAGAAATCTTTATTTAATTTATTTTAAAACAAATTTAAAATGAACCGTTTATATTAATAATGCAAGCGATTACAAAAAGAAAAAGTGTACAAACAAGTAAACTAATGGTCAAACGAAATTCTTGCGGAGTAAAATCTACAACGCAAAGATTATAGAGACACATAATAATGATTCCAAAAACAAATATTAAAAGTAATCGAAACATTCTTCAAAACTTCAAAACTTCAAAATTCCTTTTTTTTTTTTCGGAGGGAGTTTTTAGAGAGATGAAAAATTTTGTTTTGATGAAATGAATGAGAAAATGAATGAATTTATAGATTGAAAAATACTATTCCTAGCCGTTGGAGAAAGTTGAATTTTTTGGAAAAATTTTGAAATTTTTCTTTGAGACCGTTGGCGGAAAAATATTTTAAAAAAAAAAATAATCTGAAAAATTAGAGATCAATCAGATAAAAATTATCGATTCAAATAAAAATATTTATACAGGTGAATAAACCATAATATAAACAAATAATTCACAATGATATTATGGTGACGAATTATCCACATAGAAACAGTAAATATATATGTGGCGGCTCGGCCGACCGGTAGCAGAAATAAATATTTTAAGCAGTGCATAAAATTAAGGTGGCTCAGCCGACCGGCAACAGAAATAAATATTTAAAGCAGTGCATAAAATTAAGGCGGCTCAGCCGACCGGCAACAGAAATAAATATTTAAAGCAGTGCATAAAATTAAGGCGGCTCAGCCGACCGGCAACAGAAATAAATATTTAAAGCAGTAAATAAAATTTCAGGTGGCTCAGCCAACCATTAACAGAAAATAATTAATTATGGTGCATGAAGTAACGTATATATACATATATAGTATCTTTTATTTATTTATATAATTTTCTTTTTTTTTCTTTTTTTTTTCTTTTTCTCATATTTTTCTTTTAACGAGGCGACATACCGCCCGGTATAATACCGTATTTTTTTCCAGCGATCATAGAGTGATCGTGCTGATAACGTGTTATAATTAAGAAAAATAATGTATCGTAAATTTTCTATCGATCATATATGTTGAAAATGGTATAATAATAAAATTATTTAAAGAGATAGAAATATAAGGGAGAGAGAGTAATAATGTGGGAAGAAACTATACATGTTATAATACATCATATTGGACTTATAACCGGGCCCAATAAGCCCATCAGGGTTATTCATTATGTACTCTAAAACCCTAGGTTTATATGCCTATATATATGTATCATTATTCATGGAATGGAATAAGAGAACAATAAGTTTCACAACACGTTATCAGCACGAGTTTGCTCTTAACAACCCTAACCCTAAAAATCGCAAAACACTGTTCACGCCGACACTGTTCATCGATACTGTTCATCGATACTGTTCACCGATACTGTTCATCGGCACTGTTCGCCGATACTGTTCACGCCGACACTGTTCATCGATACTGTTCATAGGTACTGTTCATCGACAGCGTGAGTTACCGAGGTCTTAAGCTCCCGGTTCAATTCGTTCAACCCCAATTGGTGAAAGGTAAAAATAAAACCTTAAAAGCTTAAAGATCAAAAACCTTGTATTACTTAAACCTAACACTCAAAATCGAAAAAACTAAGCCATGGCCGAAATCTTAAAACCTAAATCAAATCAAATCCAAAACCGCAATTTTCGTGTATCCCCTAAACCGGAAATTATTCTCGGTTAACTCCTAAACCCGAATATCAATTCGGTTCATCGGTTAAACCGATTATCAAACCGGTTCCAAAATAATAACCGGATCTCAATCTGGGTAAACCGGTTCAAACTGGTTATTCTAAACCGGAAATCAATTCGGCCTAAACCGGAAATCAATTCGGCCCAAACCGGAATCTAATATTCCGGTCCAACTTTAAACTATTAAACCGAACTTATGTTCCGTATCCTTAAAATTTACGATTCCCGAGAAAGTTTCCTAAAATAGAAACCTTCCTCAAATAACAAATGACCCAAAATAGAAACTTTCCTCATTTAGAAGGTTTCCTAAAATAGAAACTTTCCTCAAATAGCAAATGACCCGGAATGAAAACTTTCCTCATTTAGAAAGTTTCCCAAATTAGAAACTTTCCTCATTTAGAAGGTTTCCTCAAATAAAAACTTTCCTCATTTAGAAAGATTCCCAAATTAGAAACTTTCCTCATTTAGAAGGTTTCCTCAAATAGAAACTTTCCTCATTTAGAAGGTTTCCTAAAATTAGAAACTTTCCTCATTTAGAAGGTTTCCTCAAATAGAAACTTTCCTCATTTAGAAAGTTTTCCTCAAATAGAAACTTTCCTCATTTAGAAAGTTTCCCTCAAATAGAAACTTTCCTCATTTAGAAGGTTTCCTAAAATGCAAACTTTCCTCAAATAGCAAATGACCCGGAATGAAAACTTTCCTCATTTAGAAAGTTTCCCAAATTAGAAACTTTCCTCAAATATAAAGTTTCCTCAAATAGAAAATTTAATTATTTTCATATCCTTTTAACAAACCCCTAATGAAATCAATTTCATGTTTCAGATGTCAAACATTCACAAAGTCGAGTTCGAGGCCCTCAAGGTCTCCGGTGAAAACTATCTCGAATGGGCCCTGGACACCAAGATTTTCCTCAACTCAAAGGGACTGGGTGAGTGTATCAAAGCGGATAACACCGCATCTGATAAAGACCGGTCCCAGGCGATATTTCATATCCGCCATCATTTGGTCGCAAGCCTCAAACAGCAATATCTCACTCTTGAGAACCCACTCGAACTTTGGGTGGCCCTGAAAAAACGGTATGATCACCAGAAAACGGTGCTCTTGCCACAAGCCAAGTTTGACTGGAAGGAACTCCGGTTCCAAGATTACAAATCTGTGGATGACTACAACTCCGAACTCTTTCGGATAGTTTCAATCATGAAACTATGTGGTGAAGAGGTGTCTGATAATGATCTCCTCGAGAAAACATTATCCACCTTCCATACCCAAAATATTGTGCTTCAGCAACAATATCGTGCAATGAAACATACATTGTACGAAGATTTGTTATCCTGTTTGTTGGTGTCGGATCCCGCACCAGAAGTACGAGACCAACCAAAGATTGCCACGTGATCAAGATAATGACCCATAAAGGATGAAGCCCATTGGACCCGTGAGCCGCAGGGACGGTCGAAGTGGTTGTCACCATTTCAAGAATCCGAAGTGACTACACTGTGACACGAGTTCGGTGTAGAAGACACGGGTAAGTCGGTTCACGGACACTTGGGCCGAAAGAGGCGAGGCCCATGAAGATCAGAGTCAACTCAAATTCAAACGTTGAGCATTAAAGCCGAAGAATCAAAACGGACACATTTAAGAAGAAATAATTGTGCTTAATTACTCATTTTAATGTCGTTTATCGGTGTATAAATATAGAGGCCGATGGCCATGTAAGTGGGATCTTCCTCTCAAGAGAGAAATACTATAGCAATTTTCGTATCAATTTACAAGTTCTTACGTATTCATTTTTTGTCCCTCAAGAATAATCTTTCCCACTTAACAAAATACTTGAGTGTGCGAATCCGACATCCACATTTTGGCGCCGTCTGTGGGGATTATCAGGATTCTTGAGTGGTCAGATTTCTTCTTTTCTACATTTCCGAGATAAGCGACAATGTCCGGAGGAGACGCCGTTGAAACATCATTGGCCGAAACCCTCAAAGCTATGCAGCAAACCATGTCGGACATATCACAAAAGTTCTCGGATGTGGAGAAGGCCGTTGATACGTTGCAAACATCCCAGGTATCTCTTAGTCAAAATGTCAATAATATACAAACTCGTGTTCGCTCTTTAAGTGCAGGAAACCCGGTGGGAACCCGAAGAGGGATATTCAACTCGCTAAGTTCCGCTGCACGAAATGAAACCAGCGGACAAACAACTCCCGGTGCTACTAATAATGTAGCTCAGACGTCGGAAGAAGAGACGCAGCTCGGGGATGAAGAACAACTTGCAGCTCAGTACGAGCAGGAGAACCTCGACCAGTTCGAGACCATGAGAAAAGTTAGCCAGGAATTAAAGGAAATGAAATCAAAATTTCATCAGGCTACAAGTTCGGAGCCAGACATCAATCGAGTCATTGAAGAAGCTAGGCGAATCCCTTTTATCCCGCGAATTGCAAGTTTGAGGATCAAAGATTCCCGGAAGCTCAAGTTGGACCCTTACAGCGGATTGGAGGATCCAAAAAGCTATCTTGCAGCCTTTCTGATCGCTGCAGGAAGAGTCGAGTTGGATGAAGCTGATGAGGACGCAGGCTATTGCAAGCTGTTTTCGGAAAATCTATGTGGCCAAGCTCTAATGTGGTTCACCCAATTAGAGCCGGGTTCGATCAGCAATTTCGACGAACTGTCAGCCGTATTCTTAAAGCAATACTCTATCCTTATGGATAAAAGCGTCTCGGATGCCGATCTTTGGAACTTAACGCAAGGATCTAATGAGTCACTTCGAGTTTTCATCACCAAATTCAAAGGAGTGCTGTCAAAACTCCCAAGAATCTCCCAGCAATCGGCTTTATCCGCCCTACGAAAAGGATTGCGACATGATTCAAGGTTTAAAGAAGACTTAATACTTCATAAACCAGACACAATTCAGGATGCACTCTTCCGCGCAAACAATTGGATGGAGGTAGAAGACGAAAAAGAAAGTTTTGCCAAACGAAATAAACAAGAAAAGTCGGCAATCACCGTCCCTACCAAGAAGTTCGAGCCTAAAGAGAGCAAAGGACCAAGGAAGTTTGGGTCGCAACCCTTCAACAATTCCGTCGGGAAGCAATTCCAAGGAAAAGGAAGATCAAACACTTGGGTCCGTGATGAAAGTCTATATTACGACATTCATAAAGTAACCGGACATTTAACC